TGTGTGTGTGTGTGTGTGTGTTTGTCTTTCTTTCTATTTCTATGTCTTTCTATCTATGTATAAAATATACTTTTGTGATGTTGTGGTGTGAAAGTGATTGTGCCAGTTGGTTAGTCACAGCATTGGCCTTTTTTTTGGTGTTCTGGTTCCTATTTTTCTGTCTATTTTTTCGTCTTGGGTGAACTCTCTTTCCAGGCCTTTCAATTCTCCTTCTTTCTTGATTTTGCTGTTGCCCACAGTGATGTTTAGTCGTCCTTGTGTTTTGCTGATTTTCATCGTCTTGGTTTTGTGTCTGTGCTAATCTTCATGTTGTGTTCATTGCAGCTTTTAACCAATTTGTTTGGGTGTCCTTGGAGTGTCTTCTCGCTGTTGTTGTGAACTATAATTGGATGAAAGTTCTGATTCTGGGTCAAATTATCAAACTTGATTGATTGCTAAAGAGTGATGTTCAGCCATTTCGGTATCCAAATAAAACAATGCCAGAATGTAGAAACCTCTTGTTCATGTCATAATTTGTATTTGGAAACTTAAAAGACTTCTTCATTTTAGAAGTTAAAAAAAAGTGTCTAAGTAACCTCGGGATCGCTTCACAAAAGCAAAACAAATTCCCCCCCCCCAAAAAAAAAATTAAAAAAATCGTGATGCAGGCTTCTTCCGAGGTTGTGTAAATTCTTAAAGACCTTAACTGGTTTATAAACTATCCAGTAATTTCATTCAAATTCTATGTCGTGTTTTCTCGTATGGAGTGTGTACTCATGCTAAGACCTCTTTAAAAAACGGTTTGTTTTATTTACCATTATTCATCTTATTATTATTTACTTACAGCAAAATGTGACAACTTAGAACGTAGAGTCACATTTTCTGACCCCTTCATACAATTGACCTCTGATATTCTGTAAACTACACCAGGAGCACAACACATTCCGGAGCAGTTGTTCTGTGAAACTCTTCACAAAATCCTACTGTCAGTTTGTGATAAGCACATGCAATTGAGGAAATTTGGCCAACTAATAAGAAAGCCTTTTACGTTGTTTCATTTGGAGATGACAGCAGCAACCATGCATGACTAAACAGATTGGGAAATAATTAGTGGGAAGTTGCCTGGCCACTCTTCAAGAACAACGTACTTAACCGAAACAGGCGCACAATCAATATTGGGTGAAGGTCGCGGGACAGTGGTGGACATACAGGGCGATAGAATAACATAAGGAGTAGTTACACACTGTTGGGAGA